AAGTGTTACCAAGAATTTTATTGTTTTCGAAAGTAGTCTTGGTTCTCTTAAGTCTCACTAAGGCTGCATTTATTTGATTAAAAACGTTCCATTTAAATATATTTGAAATGTATTCATGTGATGGAAAAGTTGAAGTTTCAGCAGCCATACAGTCTTCAGTCTGTCACATTACGAGTCTTACTATAATCAATTGTTTTTACTAAATATTTTTGTGGAAACCATGATATATTTTCAGGATTATTTGATGAATGGAAAGTGAACAGCATTTATTTGAAATCTTTTGTAACACTATAAATCTTAACTTTCACTTTTTATCAATTGAACGCATCCTTGCTAAAATGCATTAATTTCTTTCTCTTTTTTTACAGCATAATTTGAATAGTGTACCACGGCACGGGTTAAAAAAAATTAAGCAGTAGGCTACAACCATTTTCAAAACTGATAATAATAAAAACTAAGCTTTGCAGCACAGGAATAAATTACATTTTAAAATCTAAAATAGAACACAGTTATTTGAAATTTGATTCCCCCCTGATAAAACCAGTCTAATGCAAACTAATGTCTGCTGCATTTAGTAATTAATAGACACTTATTTCACTGGACCTTTATGTGTCTTAAAGGAAATAATTTCTACACTGATTAAAAAAATGTGTTGGTGGTACATTTTAAAATTCTCACTATGAAATCAGACTAGTTCAAAGGATTACATTTTAAAATATTAAATGTATCGTTTAATTGTAAAAATTAAATATTTGTATAATTAAGTCTCAAAAATATTTGGCTTCGACATCTGGCCCCTATGAAAATTCCCTGAGGCCAGTCCACCCTTGATCCACAGTCTGAAGAGTGAGTGCTGAGGCCGAGGCCTCATGCTGGGCTCTTCAGATATGCGACTCACACCACAGATATCCGAGCAGTAACGCCTTAGGCCAGAGCTTCACAACACCTACAATCAGATACCTTATCACTGAAGCGCCTAAGGTCAGCCGTTACATTTATGTGAATACGGTGTTAACAGCTTGTGGACATTAGAACAAACATGGAGTACAGAGATCTACCGATATCCATGACATCTTACATCAGAAGGTGTGAGGAGGACTGGGGCCAATCTTTTTATATATAGGCTAATCTTAAAAAATATAAACATAATATCCGTGAGGGTTAAGGTGACAGAGGTCAAGTTATTGTCATAGGATGAATTTACTGATCCAGAGAGAACGCATATCATTTAAAGGGTTAGTTCACTGTGTCATCATTTGCTCTGTTAAAAACCTGAATGACTTACTTTCTTCTTTGGAGCACAAAAGATATTTTGAAGAATGTTTGTGACCAAGTCCAAAAACAACACTGAATCCCATTGACTTTCATTGTCCAAAATATATTCTGTGTTCCGCCTAAGAAAGAAGGTTATACTGAAAATAACTTCATTTTTGGTGAACATTTTTGGTTCTGCTTTACTGTTTTGTATCAGTAATTAATCAGTGCACTAATCTCAGATACAAATGATGAAGTCAAAAGGATAAGCATGAAGCTTCTGAAGGGGCCCTGCGGTTTTGAAGCAAACTTCACAAAAGTTTTGGCAAGAAGCTGTGTGATTGAATCATAAGTTGTTTTTTTCCCCCCACAAAACACTCGTGTTTGCCTTTTCCATGGGAAGCCGTTATGACTTCCACCCACCTAAGGACATCTGAGATTCCGTCATTATAAGGCCTCGGCGTCCGGACGGTATTCCCGACATGTTTCTGTCATTACAAAGATCTACACCCGATTTACATCATTGGCAAGGTGCTCGCCAAATGATCAGATGCCAGCATCCTCAGCAGTGTCAAAGTCAATAATGAATAAAACGTATAGATGAAAAGAACTCGTCCCTAATGGTCCCTCTGTCTCCTGAGTGTTAAAAAATGTAAATTTATGTAAAAGCCCATAGGAAACACATATTTACAATACGTTTAGGTAATCACAAGATGCAGGCATGGAGAAATATCCCGGCCGAGAGAAGCAGTCAATGCAAAAATAGTTTTTATGTGTCATTAATTCTCTTTGCATTCCCAAATAACCCTATATTACCGCGGTAATACAGTAATCACTCACAATCGCACAGAAAATTATCTGCACTCATCTGTGGAATAAAAGGCGAAGGGGAAAACGAGGGGAAAGCATCCCATTTTAGTATCCTCTTGCGTCCTTAATGTTCAACGAGAAGCCGGCGAGTAAACGACTGCTCGGCCAATCTCGACTCTGGCACCGATGGAACAGTTTCCGAGCAGCTTAATGATAGCGGGGAGTCGATGGCTCTCGTCAGCCCCTCTTCCTAAAATGCGCACACCTTTTCATGCTACATTGCCCAGAATAGACGCAAGGTTCATGGACAACTGGGGGAAAATTGAACCTTTTAGACGCTACCAGAAAACAAAACACTCCTCTGATGCCAAATCTAAACGACACACACTCGGGAGCGCTGACATTAGGTGTAGAAGTGCTGCAGACACATCAGCCCATGCAGCATTCATAAGAGCCCCGTCCTTGCCCATTCTTTATCCCTAAAATCAATGTTACAAACACTAGTACTGAACACTCAATCAAAATACCTATTGTTGTCTGTATATAATACACATGACATGTAAATTGTTTGTGAACAGCTGATACGAAATTTCCGATATGTGTCCTGATATGTGAAACTATTTTAAAGAAAATAAAGGTCACACTTAGGGTCTAATTCTAACTATTAACTACGACTTTTGCCTCAAACTCCTAATTACTGCTTATTAATAGTTAGTAAGGTAGTTGTTAAATTAAGAATTGGGTAGGATTAAGGGAAGTCATGCAGAATAAGGCATTAATATGTGCTTTATAATTAACAGCCAATATCCTAGTAATATGCATGCTAATAAGCAATTAGTTCATGGAGGGAATTGGACCCCAAAATAAAGTGTTACCAAAAATTATTATTACACATTCAGCGTTTGGGCCTCATATTAATTGAGAAACTACATAAAGATTGAAAGTATTCAAAAATAATGTAAAACCTGAAAGCAAGTGTGACTAGATATATCATCTTAATCTTAATGCTCGTTAACACTTAATTTCTAAGCAGCCAATCACATGGCGGCAACTCAGTGCATTTAGGCATGTAGACATGGTCAAGACAATCTCCTGCAGTTCAAACCGAGCATCAGTATGGGGAAGAAAGTTGATTTGAGTGACTTTGAACGTGGCATGATTGTTGGTGCCAGAAGGGCTGGTCTGAGTATTTCAGAAACTGCTAATCTACTGGGATTTTCACGCACAACCATCTCTAGGGTTTACAGAGAATGGTCCGAAAAAGAAAAAACATCCAGTGAGCGGCAGTTCTGTGGGCGGAAATGCCTTGTTGATGCCAGAGGTCAGAGGAGAATGGCCAGACTGGTTCGAGCTGATAGAAGGGCAACAGTGACTGAAATAACCACTCGTTACAACCGAGGTATGCAGCAAAGCATTTGTGAAGCCACAACACGCACAACCTTGAGGCGGATGGGCTACAACAGCAGAAGACTCCACCGGGTACCACTCATCTCCACTACAAATAGGAAAAAGAGGCTACAATTTGCAAGAGCTCACCAAAATTGAACAGTTGAAGACTGGAAAAATGTTGCCTGGTCTGATGAGTCTCGATTTCTGTTGAGACATTCAGATGTTAGAGTCAGAATTTGGCGTAAACAGAATGAGAACATGGAACCATCATGCCTTGTTACCACTGTGCAGGCTGGTGGTGGTGGTGTAATGGTGTGGGGGATGTTTTCCTGGCACACTTTAGGCCCCTTAGTGCCAATTTGGCATCGTTTAAATGCCACGGCCTACCTGAGCATTGTTTCTGACCATGTCCATCCCTTTATGGCCACCATGTACCCATCCTCTGATGGCTACTTCCACCATGTCACAAAGCTCTAATCATTTCAAATTGGTTTCTTGAACATGACAATGAGTTCACTGTACTAAAATGGCCTCCACAGTCACCAGATCTCAACCCAATAGAGCATCTTTGGGATGTGGTGGAACGGGAGATTCGCATCATGGATGTGCAGCCGACAAATCTGCGGCAACTGTGTGATGCCATCATGTCAATATGGACCAAACTCCCTGAGGAATGCTTCCAGCACCTTGTTGAATCTATGCCACGAAGAATTGAGGCAGTTCTGAAGGCAAAAGGGGGTCCAACCCGTTACTAGCATGGGGTACCTAATAAAGTGGCCGGTGAGTGTATATACACCCACACATACACAGTTATTTAGGGATTTTCTCTGAACCCTTTAGGCAAATGAAGTACTTCATTAACATAAATAAATACATTTAAGATCATTGTAAAATAAAGACCAGCATATTTTGGTAATCTGCATGACAGAAGGACACAGTACTGTTTCTTTTTTTTCCACAGTACTGTTTCTTCTTTGAATCATGCAGACATGCATACCGTCAGTTCAGTTCTATAACGGTTCGTCGACGCCCCCTACTGGCCAAACTTGGGAACACGTGAATAACAAATGAACAGGATTCTCAGTTTTCAAAACCATTTCTCTATTCTTAATTTCTTTCAATTATTTGTTTTTAGTTGATTTATCATCATTGCAGGAACAATGGATTCTCCTTTTCACTGTTCTACTCAACAGAGGATACATATTAAATTTTACTCTGCATAGATACTGTACTGCTCTTTATTTTTAAACCTTCATTTGTTTTTGAAATTAACAGGCATTAAACTTCCCCACGTGAAAATGGAAAAACAAAACTTATGTCATATTTAACTTAAAAAAATGTGATAATCAAATAACATAATAATGCTATGATTCTCACTATTATCTTCTTTATAACAGTAACACAATTCCAGGTGGGGTTACATTAGTTAGAGCCTTATATAATTTTTTTTTAGTTAGTGCCTTATATTCAGAGAAAGGTCCATGTCTGGTCACTAGGGTGCACTATTGCAGCAATAGTGGTGTGACACTGTCATTTGCGCTAATATCTGAATGTCCTGCTAGTTTATTCGTTGTAATTTACACATATAAATAGGTCCAAAGTTGGCACACAGGTGTGGCAAAACCAGCTCCCCGACACTTAAGTGAGGCGCAAAGTGGAAAGTGTCAGAAAAGCGTTGAGCGAACCATCTGAGGTCCTGAACCTGTACTGTGACTCCCAGCTCCTCCTGAGCGAGACTTATGGCCTGTTGCACCACACACTCATTCTGCAGCTGGGACAGGGAACATGTAGAGTACACTATGTGTCCACCTCGGCGAGCGGCCTGGATTCCAGCCCTGGAAGGAGAAAGAAATATTCGATTAATTCGAGTTCTCAGTCAGTCTTATGCAACATCCAAATATATTACCCTAAACCACATTCAAGAAAATATTTTTAAAAAGTCAAGGTAGTCAACAATATATATACACATTACACACACACAGTCAAAAGTTTGGAAACATTACTATTTTTAATGTTTTGAGAGAAGTTTATTATACTCATCAAGCCTGCATTTATTTGATCAAAATACAGAAAAAAAGAGTCATATTATTGTGAAATATTATTACAATTTAAAATAATATATATTTTTATTTTGATATACTTTCAAATATAATTTATTCCTGTGATGGTAAAGCTAAATTTTCAGCATCATTACTCTTCAGTGTCACATGATCCTTTAAAATCATTCTAATATGCTGATAATATGCCAATATAAATCTTTACTATCACTTTTTATCAAGTTGTATACATCCTTGTGAATAAAAGTATTCAATTCTTTCACAAAAGAAAGAAAAAAAATTACTGACCCCAAACTTTTAAACGGTAGTGTATATTGTTAAAAAAAAAGATTCAATTTCTATTCTATTGTTTGCACATTTAGACAAATTACTTACACAAGAAGCTGTGTTTGCAAGAGTGGAAGTTTCTGTCTCTCTTTGGTCCTGGACCTCTTAAATAAATTGTTCTCCTCCACCATTGCAGAGTGTCTGTCTGTGGTGCAGGGGACATCTACAAGCACCTGTGAGAAGATGGAAGATGAATGGAAGGTACACTGAAGGCACAATGCCCATATATGCCTGGAATACTGTTTGTGCTGTTGCCATATGCTTGGCAGAGATACATACTTTAATCAGAACACCACAGGGTTTATGAAGCAGATGTTAGATATTTAAGAATTTGTGACGTCACACGACATACAAGGACAGGACAATGTAGCAATGTAAAGAAATATAAATCACAGACGCATAAATATATGTTGCAGTTTAAGTACAACGGTGTTCTAAAAGCTTGGGATCGGCAAGACTTTGTTTACAAAATAAGTCTATGCTCACCAAGACTGCATTTATTTTATCAAAAGATACAGTAAAAACATAATATTGTGAATTTTTTTTTACAATTTAAAATAACTGTTTTCTATTTTAAGATGTAATTTATTCCTGTGATGTAAAGCTGAATTCTCAGCATCTTTACTCCAGTCTTAAGTGTCACATGATCCTTCAGAAATCACTCTAATATGATGATTTGCTGTCCAAAAAACATTTCTGATTATCATCATCAATGTTGAAAACAGTTGTGCTGCTTAATATTTTTGTGAAAACCGGAATACTGTGAATTATTTTTAAGGATTATTTGACGAAGAGACGTTCAAAAGAACAGAATTTATTTGAAATATTTTAACTTTATAAATGTCATTGTTGATCAATGCATTCTTGCGGAATAAAAGCATGGCTTTCATTAAAATAAAAATCATACTGACCCCTAGTCAGTACAACATGGCATTCTGCTTTAACTTCATAATACAGGTGCTTCTTCTCCAGACATTTTGCCTCATACTAACTCTGTCAAAGCGGTTCTCCTCTGTCAAGCCTAACTGCCAACCATCTGTGGATGTGATGTGGATTTTGTTTTCATCCAGTAACTCTTTAGGCACGTAGCTCCGAAGAGTCTTGCGTAATCGTGTTGTGCGGGAAACTGATAAGTCATTCGCCCATAGATAATCTGAAACGGGGAAAAAAACAGGTATATTATTATATCATATATGAAGACCTACATTCTCTTCCATTAGAAAGCTTTGGCAAAATTCATTAACATACCGACTGAATGTGCCTGTAGGAGAGCAAGGGTCTTCCCTCCAGGAGCTGCACACAGATCCAGCACTGTGTGTCCAGGCTGGACGTCCAGCGCTAGTACAGGCAGCACCGAAGCAGCATCCAGAAGGTAATATCCCAATATACCACTGCTGTCAGGTCTAAGTTAATAAGACAGATATATTAATAACTTTGGACAAGATAGAATAACTGATTTTTTTGTGTGTAATTCTTACCTTGCAGGCTTAAATCTAGATGTGTCTCCTTGTGGAAAAACAAGACATTTGATATCAAGACTTATATTGTGTTGAAGAGCATCAGGTTCCAGCTCTGTTGAATCTCTGTGTGAGGTTGTGGAGTCCTCCTGTGAATGTTGATGTACCCCATTACTGGAACAGCCAATACTGATGAAATCTTTACAACCTTGAGCTTCTAAATCTGTGATTATGTGAGGTTCTGAAGAGAAACTGTTTATCAGTGCTCCATACTTTTGTTCACACAGCATGGCGACTCGAATAGAGGGCCACAGGTCCTTAAACTGCATACTGTACGTTGCGTCAAAGTTGTGCAGAGCAAGTTCAGTAGATGGAAACTTGGGCCTTGTTGCTGCCTAATGGAATATAGAAGACGACGAGAACATCTTAAGATATGAATTTGCCACATTGATTTTAAGTTGAAAACCACTGCAAACTCATTACTCACCCATTTTGTTTTAACTCGATACCGTCTCGGAATAAATGTAACCGAGTCTTTGAATTTATTTATACAAAATCTCGTGCATACGTACGCTGCCATGTTTGTGTATCATCAAAAGCGTCCGTCGCTTTTGTCCTCATTGGTTCCTAGCTTGGTTTTGTGATTTTCGCACCTAAAAAATGATTACTTGTGAATATATAAATCAAAAGACATTTTTTTATTTTATTTATTCAGCAACATATTACAAAATATATAATGGATAAAGTGCTTATAACATTAGAACGTTCCAGAAATTTCTTTCATGAGCCCCTACTATTGCGAAGGATGAACTCATAAGCTCATTCTGACGTTAATTGGAACCATCCAATAGCGTTCCTAATTAATATTCATAAGCCAAGCCTTTACCATAGTAGAATTCGTACATAGCGGTCGACCGTTGCTGCTTCATTGTGTTTAAGTGTGAATTCAAATCATAGAAGTATGGTTTTTGAAAGGGAAACGATCAAACATGGACAGCCTGACGAGGCGGAGGAGGTACGGCCACTAATTTTAGAGTATTACTGTAGTTTGAAGAAAGTGCATTTGTGAAGTTATGCAACTTGCACGTCATTGTATAACTACAGGCAAGTCGATTCTAACATGTCAGCTGTCCTGACATAAAGATAAGAAAACAGTTATGATATTTCGAGCCTGGCCTATAACATATGGCAAGCCGTTTTAACTTTTATTCATTTCCAGGATATGAATTGTTGATATCAACAATTACATTTTTGATATCAACAATTACATTTTTTGATATCAACAATTACATTTTTTGATATCAACAATTACATTTTTGATATCAACAATTACATTTTTGATATCAACAATTCAATTGTTGATATCAACAATTGAATTCTTGATATCAACAATTGAATTCTTGATATCAACAATTCAATTCTTGATATCAACAATTGAATTATTGATATCAAAAATGTAATTCTTGATATCAACAATTGTATTTTCACTAGTGAAATGTCACCATAGACTGCCATTCAAAATCAATTGTTGATATCAAGAATTGATTTCTTACTAGTAGAAATATAATTTTTGATATCAATAATTACATTGTTACTAGTAAAAATGCGAATTCCTGATATCAATAATTAAATTATCACTAGTCTAAATGTCTATTCTTGATATCAACAACTGAATTGCTACTAGTAAAAAATTTCATTTTTGATATCTGAAAATGTATTTCTGATATCAATATTATTTCAGATATCTAAAATGGCTTTCTTACTAGTAACAATCACATTCATGATATCAGAAATTAACATTGTCACTAGTGAAAATTGAATTATTGATATCAAAAATGAACATTGTTACTAGTAGCAATTCAATTGTTGATATCAAGAATAGACATTTCAACTAGTGACAATTTAATTCTTGATATCAAAAATAAAGGTTTTTACTAGTAAGAATTGTATTTCTGATATGTGAAATTGGAATTTCAACTAGTAAGAAATCAATTCTTGATATCAAGAATTGATTTTGAATGGCAGCCAAGCCGTTTTAACTTTTATTCATTTCCAGGATATGAATACTTGATATCAACAATTCAATTTTCACTAGTTAAAATTATAATTATTGATATCAGGAATAATATTTCTACTAGTAACAATGGCAATTTTTGATATCAGGAATTACATTTTCACTAGTAACAATGCTAATTCTTGACATCAACATTTACATTTTCACTAGTTAAAATGATAATTCTTGATATCAACAATTGAATTGCAACTAGTAAAAACTATAATTCTTGATATCTGTAATTGTATTTTCACTAGTGAAATGTCACCATAGGCTGCCATTCAAAATCAATTCTTGATATCAAGAATTGATGTCTTACTAGTTGAAATTCCAATTTCACATATCAGAAATACAATTCTTACTAGTAAAAACCTTTATTTTTGATATCAAGAATTAAATTGTCACTAGTTGAAATGTCTATTCTTGATATCAACAATTGAATTGCTACTAGTAACAATGTTCATTTTTGATATCAATAATTCAATTTTCACTAGTGACAATGTTAATTTCTGATATCATGAATGTGATTGTTACTAGTAAGAAAGCCATTTTAGATATCTGAAATAATATTGATATCAGAAATACATTTTCAGATATCAAAAATGAAAATTTTTACTAGTAGCAATTCAGTTGTTGATATCAAGAATAGACATTTAGACTAGTGATAATTTAATTATTGATATCAGGAATTCGCATTTTTACTAGTAACAATGTAATTATTGATATCAAAAATTATATTTCTACTAGTAAGAAATCAATTCTTGATATCAACAATTGATTTTGAATGGCAGTCTATGGTGACATTTCACTAGTGAAAATACAATTGTTGATATCAAGAATTACATTTTTGATATCAATAATTCAATTGTTGATATCAAGAATTGAATTGTTGATATCAACAATTGAATTGTTGATATCAAAAATGTAATTGTTGATATCCAAAATGTAATTGTTGATATCAAAAAATTTAATTGTTGATATCTAAAATGTAATTGTTGATATCAAGTATTCATATCCTGGAAATGAATAAAAGTTAAAACGGCTTGCCTAGCCTATGGTGACATTTCACTAGTGAAAATACAATTACAGATATCAAGAATTATAGTTTTTACTAGTTGCAATTCAATTGTTGATATCAAGAATTATCATTTTAACTAGTGAAAATGTAAATGTTGATGTCAAGAATTAGCATTGTTACTAGTGAAAATGTAATTCCTGATATCAAAAATTGCCATTGTTACTAGTAGAAATATTATTCCTGATATCAATAATTATAATTTTAACTAGTGAAAATTGAATTGTTGATATCAAGTATTCATATCCTGGAAATGAATAAAAGTTAAAACGGCTTGCCATATATAACACCACGTAAAGTATTATAATGTATTGAATTTATGACGCTTACATTGCAAATACATTAAAATTACCATAAAACACATTATGATATCAATTAGGTCCACAAAATTGCTCATCCCACAAAAAACAAAACAAAAAAGAAGTTATTATAGTATCACAATATTTTTGTGGCTCTTGTCCCTCATTTATTTGTAAAGGAACAAACACTAATAGAGGAAGATGCGGGAGAAGATGGTGCTGATGAGGAGGAAGAAGAGATGGTGGTATGTTACTACAGCATTACATAAATCAGGTCCATATTAAATTCCTCTTCATCTTAAAAAGTAATACACACACACACATTGTAAACCTGAATAATTGGGCAAAAAAATGAATTTGAGGTAATCAGCAAAATCAAAATAAATTCAAAGTTTAAGTAAGCAGAACTGGCAGATTTCAATTTTGTACTCGTAGGTTTTAATTGCTCCTACCTTAAAAATTGAGTAAGTTAATTCATACATTTAACTTAAAATGATAATGTTATCTCAATTTAAATATTAGTAGTGAAAATTTAACTACTAGATATAAATTCAGCAAATGCTAATTGGTGATGCTTTGATAACATAAGCATAGCAATTGATGTAAGAGTACAACAATATAGAACATTTAACATTGTGTTCAAACCAAGTTCATACTTGACTTGTGATGATGTTACGTTAATGATGGTAACCCCTAAAAAAAACACATATCAGAAACTCTTCTAAATTAGTATAGCAAAGCATTAAACTACTTAATCTCTCACTTAACATTTATCTTGCACAAAAAAACATTATGTAACTTAATTTTTAGCACTTACTCCCCCCTTATACTGTAGAGCCATGGGCAAAGCATGCTGGGAAATAGAAATCCCAGCCTAGGTTTGAGCAATTTTAAGTTTGTCTATTTAGTTTAGTAAAGTACTTAAAGACTAAACAAATAAAAGCATTGCTGAAGGAGAGGTGATTGTCATAGATTAAACAGTGTCTGGCCCCCTGCAGGACCCCCTAGAAGCAATAAGACAGAAATGTGAGCAGACGGCACATTGCATGCATGCAGAAGAAAGACTAGAAGCTTGTGAAACTCGAGTTGGCTCACGGTCACACACTGAAGAGGACTGCACAGAGGAGCTGTTTGACTTTCTACATGCACAGGACCACTGCGTAAGCCACTCTCAACCCCTACTAGGGGCTCAAACAGTGTTCTTAAAAACATCGCTGTAATAATTTAATATTATCATTGTTTTCCAGGTTGCACAAAAGCTCTTCAGTTCAGTTAAATGAAGCCCCACTGAGACACTCCGTTCGTTCCAGTTGAGTATCTGAGCTGTAGATGTGTATGTAAAAGTTCAGAACAAGCATAAACAAATCTCAAAACTTGTAGTTGTATGTGAATAAATGTGTGTAGACTTCATGTACACATGTCTTTGCCTTACATATTAGTTGGTTCTTTTGTTTACACGTGACCAAATCTAATGTAACTTATGTATATTCTGCTTTCCAGGTGTCACGTCAAAACTATAGGTACCATTTCTCTAGATCGTATTGCAATTACACATAGTCCCACATGGTGGCAGTAGACATTGCATTGTTGGCTAGTTTCCCCTCTCTCTGTCAGTTAAAATCAGACTTTTTTTTTTTTTATCTAATAAACTTGTAATAAATGTAATAAACAGCGTGCAAGCAAGTACAGCCCATGAAAGTAGGTTTTTCATTTTATCTAGCAACTGGATTGCATATTTTTCCATAGATAATAAGTAGTTTAACAAATAAGTTGCTATATAAATGCCTCAGGATTTCCACAGGAGAAACACGACCAAGCATCTAACTGAAACTCAGTTTCACCTGCTTTTATACAGATTTAATGAGATTAAAAAGTACGAGGGGGAAATATTCATGCTCTTAAATAGCTCTCAGGTCTAAGATGGAAAATGACTGGCGTTTATTTACCACATTAAGAAATAAGGTTGTAAAGGAGCTTAGAAAGGTGAAAGCTAATTTTTTTAAGCTAGAGGAAATAAGAAATATGGCAGAATTTAAAGAAATTAACTGGAAAATGTAATATATAACCAATACAATTAAATATAGAGGGGAAATATGACTAATGATCCATGCAGGGTGGCAGAAGCATTTAATAATTTTATAGATTCTACAAAATCTTGGATTCAGAATGTTCCTGGTTTAAATTATTTAGTTGGTAATTGTATATGTTAATATGCTCTGGTTATGGCCATGTTTGCTGGAATGGGTTTTGAACCTGCCACCGACTACAGATGAAAATGAGACTCATGTAAATGTGCTGCTTTTAGCCATACAGTGCAAGTGCTCATGTTAATGTGCATTGTCCCTTTTAAAATAAAATTCGTACTCTTTCCCCTGTAATGTAAACAGTTACATGTTAGGCTCTACAGCCAACCTCACTGAGTAAGAATATTCAACTAAGATTACCAAATCAAATCATACATATAAAAACAAATAATTTTTCCTCCAACCATTGCCATAAGCAAAACCCTGCTTAGGCACTGATAACAATTTGCTCTGATGAAAAGCATGTAAACATGAGACTTTCATAACCCAATTCATATATAAAAAAACAACAAAATAATTTTATTAAAAGAAAAACATGGTCAAAATAAAACAGGGTTTAGACCGTAATTATAAAAATAAATATTCAGCTGAAAAGCAGCATAATTTATCCAATAAGAAAAACACTAACTGAATTCAATTCATGTTCCTGATGAATCCATGCACACAGTGCATATGAAAACTAGAGCTTCCGGTCACTTCCTCACCAAGGGTAATTCTCCTTATTGCTCTGTCCCACAAAGTCATTCATCGAGGACTGGGGGAAGAAAAAAAAAAAGAAAAAAAAATTTAATCAGAGACCTATAATAAACTTACTAAATCAATGGTAACCTTGTTGAAAATTGAAATTGGGCAATTTGAATTCTGAAATGATTGACAACTAATGTAAAAATCACCCAGTAAATTTGAGCTTCCTGGGGCCTTTTATAAGACAATCTAAGATAATTTAGATTCAATCTTTTAAAATCGCTTTGGTCTGGTAGAATACAGAAAAGGGCAATTGTCTGAGGAACAGAGTGATTGTCCAAAGTGACTGACCTGCATGAGGAGCCTCTCTTTCCTCAGTCTCTTATAGAAGAGCAGCACGTCCTGGTTGGCCTGCACCACTCGAGGATCAAAGTCCATCACACGCAGGCCTTCCAGACTCCGAGCCCGTGACAGAGCAACATAAGCCTGGCCGCTCTCAAACACACGCGCCAAAGAGATCTCCACGCAATCCAAAGTCATGCCCTAAACACACCAAACAAAACACCAGCAATTTACTTCAACAATCTAGCAATAATTTACTAACAGCAGAAAATAGTTATAAAATACATATAACAGGCTACGGATAGTTCCCATCCTTGATTCTGATTGGTTGAGCCGCATTCAAAGCAGTTGTAAATTTACATTATTATTATCCAAATCCGATTGAAACAGGAAAAACATTGCAATAAATGCAATTAACAAATCCGTTTCGATCTACAATCATAAGTGGTTTGAAATCTTATTCAAATAGCATTTCTGGGAATCCTTTTAAGTCTGACCGCTCAGATCAGATTTTACGTGGTTTACGTGACTTTGAAGCCACATAAAACGTAAACGTTGTTATTGGAAATCTGCTGAAGTTGCTGCAGAAACAAGGTTGCGTTGCAAATGAAAGAGCGGCATGGACACACAAATCGTATCTAAACAGTTGCGATACACAATGTGAAGTCAGTAATTCTAGATCAGAATCTAATCGGACACACAAATAACCGCATTTGGACTGACAGTGTGAACGTAGCCCGAGTCTGTGTGTTGCAACTTGCTTTGCAATTGGACTGTTTTAAAATTAAAAAGCCAGAAGTGTCTGAAATGTATTGTAGCGTCTTACAGTTCTGAACTAATTACACTGATAATAGTGAGGCCCACGTGTTTATAGTGAGGAATTGATTTAATATGCCATTTTTCTCAGTTCCCCCACTGAGCATTGGGACGTGCCACATGCAACGTTTCTGAAACATTTGCCAGACACCCAATGAGCTTAATTACTCTGACACTCTTTGCAACAACTTTGACAGTTCATCAGTGCAGAAGGCACAGAAAAGGTCAGAAATGATGGGTAAACATGGTGACTAGTTAATGAGTCAATACAGAAGCCAGAAGGATAGTCCTGAGCATCTGTTCACAGATGCACAGAAACACGGTTCCTGAGCCAAGTCATTTTATTTTAATGGGACTTTCAATGAAAATCGCATGATCATTTCCTCTAGGGCCCAGAACAGTAGGAGATCAACAGCACAATCTTGTAATATTAGATTTCATTCTATGCATTCAGCTGATGCAGGTTTGACTCACTATGCATAATGAGTCTTGATGGGGCTTCATAGTAGAGCTCACCTGACTCTTGTGGATTGAAATGGCCCAGGCCAGTTTGAGTGGCAGCTGCTGTCGGCTCAGGTACAGCCCCCCGGACGCTTTAAAAAGCCAACGCTCTCTCTTCATTAACTCAACAGCCCCGCAGAGGAATCGCACCCGAGGGAGACCTGTGGGAGAGGGGTATTCACGAATGATGGGATGTCACAACATCTCACTGCATGCGTTCAAATCCTCTGAAATATGTTGGCGTTCTAGAACCAGCCACGTACAATGATTAATGAATGATATTTGGGTAAATCTCAAAGCCAGTCAAGAACATGTCGGAATTAAAATATGAACAATTTTAAATTGACATCCCCCTAATTTTATTACAGCAATGAGTAATTTAAAGTGTATAAAATCTTACTTTAAAAAAAAAACTTCTGTGGTACTAAATAACACTGGAAAATAATGAATTATTATCAGCAGTAATTACAGGTAATTATGTCCCAACAGCATGATGTCACAAAATTCATCTTAAATGGTCCTAAAAAAGGCTTTCAATTCCTTCTTACAAAACATAATTGCTTATTTCTCCCTCTAAAAGGGTTGAAATACAATAGACATTCTTTGTGAGATTTAACGATTTATTTGCTGATAGCAGTATTGTTTATGATGGCATTTTCATAAAAACAACACTTGTGACAGAGAAAGTAAGATACAATGCGTTTTGGAAGTGCCGGCCACTGTTTCGCAGTCACCATTACCTTGATTCCCTGGCTGAAAGTCAACCACTACTCCTCTGGCTCCATTCACTAGACCCCTCTGGACATCCAGGTTTTTAGTAAGCATGACCTGAACAAATAACAAGGTTGTTGCAAATTTTTGACATTTAAAAATCAAGAGCACATGTTAGCCAGAAGGACATAACACCAACCTGAGCGCCTACTTTGAGCTGTAACAGCCGACTCACTGGACTCTGGGCGTCAATGGTCTGAACCAGCATAGGGTCACTATCCACAGCTTCGAATACTCTCACGGCCCCTGCAAGTAAACACTTAAGAGACTTAGAAATGTGTAAAAGACCGTATCTCTGGATTTCGCTCATCTTACAGTTTGTGTAGAAACAAAAAAACAAAAAATTCCTGCTACACAGCATGTCCTACATGGTTTCTAGTGCCTTATGTCACTCATGAATCAGATGGTGGATTTCTAGAAACTATTTCAGTGTCTGGTGATCTCATTCCCACCTATCCATGTCACAGAATTGACAACGATACCAGAACACCCACCACCTGATGCGACCAGCAAACCACGTCACATTTCACACATCTCCTGTTCAAAATTAGGCTGCATTGTGACCAACCTGGTAAATGTTTGAGTTTATTCTCATTGGTGAGCTCCACATCATCCTTGTGTGTGCACAGCCTGGTTGCTAGGATACCATCCCTCTCGATGCAGTGATTGGCACTTCTCAGCAGCTGTGCGGTAACTTCCTCTGTGACTCTACAGCATGGAGAGCCACTGTTACAATAGGATCAACATGCTGACGAACTCGGTCAATTCACAACTTCACTGATTACAAAATGAAGCGTGAAAGTTCCTCACTACAAGACGTATAAACATTTTAAAAATCACACCTACGAGATCCACTTACGGTCATGGAAAAAACTGACCATGAACCACAGGGATTGCATCCCAAAAACACCCCGAGCCAGTGAGTCACTGCACTGAACGGTGGCTGTGGTGAGAGCTCAGTACCTGCCCACTCTCACAGCCTGGAGGAGAGAAATGAAGGCCTTGTCTGTTTGTCTGCGCACCTCCATCAGCTCCATGTTCATGTGGATACACTTCCGCCAGCTTCTCGACTGCAAGCAAAATACATTTTTTGTATCTTATTCTTAGAAACTTGCACAGTGGATATCCAGATGCTAACCCAAAAACGATTATACACATAGAATCAAATTTCAAGACATTACAATGTACTCTTAAAGGGATATGACAATTTTCATTTGTGGATGATATGATTTACTCACTTTTTCCATCCATCTTCAAACACTGGGTCTCATGACCCAGTGGAGAACCCCAGGTGTGTCATTCTCAAAACCAGTTCAAACACTTATCCAGACCTCTCATTAGCCAGCTGTACATACACATAAATCTGCTCTATTCAGAGAAACCTTGCAGCTGAAGCTATAACGCAGCTTTTCTTACCGTTTCACTGTATATGATGAAATATGTTTAAAATTAAATGATGTTTTATTAATAATTATAGTCATGTTAAGTTATGAACCTTTTGAAGCATCAAAGTTAAGGGAATGGACTTTAAACCGGGACAGAAACCTCTAAGGTTTCATTAAAAATATCTTCATTTGTGTTTTGAAGATGAATGAAAGTCTTATCAGTTTGGAATGTCATGAAGACGAGTAAACGATTCCAGAATTTTCCTTTTGGGGTGAACGAACCCTTTAATGCCAAGTCAGATCAAGGCTGAAGTGGAAAAAGCATGAACTATGCCTAAATGAGGGTAGTACCTGGAAACAAAAGTTAGCTTTGTCCTTTCCTTTTGTTACAGGAGGAAGTTGAAGAAAGTCTCCGCACACAATCAGCTGAATCCCTCCAAATGGCTCAGTTGATCTTCTGATGGACCTAGAAAAATAATATACAGATGACACTCGTCTAATAAGGCAACTCTGACCTAATATTGAACTATTTAGTGTTGTTCCTTTCCTTCAGAACAGATGAGAATTTTCAAATGTACTAGACTAGGACTGGGAGAATTGATGGTTTGGATAAATTTTGTATTCAATTTCTGATCCAAATCACATTCAAAAATTAATTTGCCATCTGGCGTTCATTAGAAGAAAATCCGTAGTGACAAATTCAGATGCAACCAATCACATTAAATGAAATTACTAAACCATTAAAAACAACAACAACAAAAAACAACTCATCACCACATTAATTGATAATGGTAAAACGAAATGTATCCATGTGGAAAATTAAGTGCGCTGAGATAAACCGGTATCATTAACGGAGTTATTTTTATTTTTGTCATAAGTTCCCTCAGTGTGGTTCACCTGGCTATGGCTTCTAGTTTGTCAAAGAACTGGGCCTCCACCATTGAGATCTCATCAATAATGAGGTGTTTGCAGGAGGTCCAGTGCTGCAGAACCCCAGGACGCTGAGCGAGCTCAAGACACTGTTCAAGAGGAGCAGAGCCGGACCCAATACCTGATAACAAGAGTGACAAAAATCACTCACAACAGCACAACTCGGTTTATAGATTTGAGAAATGTGTTGATCATATGACACTTCAGAAAAGTGACCCCATGTTGTGTACATACTGAAATAAATCTGTCACCTATGATTACTGTTTGGTTTGGGGTGAAGGGATACTGCCATTTCATAAAACCTTTGCCATCATCAATTATATATGAGGAGATTTCCTAATGAATGCATGTAGCATGTTTGCATTCGTTGGCAGTCACTTTTCAGAGACACGAGTGAAATCATTTGAACTTGAAATGTTCTAACCTGCAAAACTGTGAAGTGTGGTCCCTCCGATGTGACAGGCTGCGACGCCGGTGCTCGCGGTTGCATATGTGCTTTTTGGAGGCAGAGAGCCTACAATCCTTTTGAGCAAGAAGGACTTCCCTGTACCTAAAATAAAGCCATGAAAAAAATACCTCTATAAGAAACTAGATTATATTCATCGGTGGCTATAAGTAATAATAAAATAAATAAATGCATAAATAATCAGTGCAGTTCATTACCTGCACTGCCTGTGAAAAACACATTCTTGCCACTCAAGACTGCATTGAGAACTGCAGTTTGTTCTTTGCTTAGCTTTTGTGCCACGGGCAGAACCAAGACAGGCTTCTTATTGGGGTGAAGCGCCTTAACCTAAAAGAGATAAATAAATCCATAATCCTGTGAAATACATGATAGCATTGAAAGCAAGCATTGTGCAGTCTTTTTCAGCAAATAGTAAGTAAAAGATGCTCAACTTTGTAAAAATGTTGAATCTCAGAAATATACATCAATTCATAAAAATGAAAATGTGAGACATTGAAATTGTATGATTGTGGTTACTAAAATAGTTTACAATAATAAACGTAATGTATATAAAGTTTAACAAATGAATATCCATTAACTGAAATGTATTGGCCAAAATTATTTTAAGAGTTTAATTGTTAAATGCATTGTTAAAGGCCAAAACCCTCCTTTTAAAGAGAAAATTACATTTTCTTTTCAACTACCCACTTAATTTGGTTAAGAAATGGTGCATCAAAACTAACAAAAATTAAATAAAAATAGTCGTGCTTATAATTTGTCAAGACAAATGTGCAATGTATTAAAGGAGCATAGGCCTAACACAAAAGGATGAACATACCGGACTAGTGTCACAATCAGGTCTGGGTCTTTTTACTTGTTTCCTTTCACCCAAGACCTTATTGACAGGTCTCTCTGAAGGACCTTTGGGTTGAATTGGGGTGTTCACTTTACTTCTCAGCTCGTTTGCTTTCTGTACATCTTTCAGCTGGAGAGGACTGACGGTCTCAAAGGCTCTAGGAAGGCCGGCTCGTAGTTTAGCCCTACCACTCATAGGCTTGTTGCTTTGGGATGCTTGATGTTTGATGCTGAGCGTCTTGAGGAACACCTTCAAACGATCCGGTGGACAATCAGAGACTAGAACCTGTGTGCTCTCCGGGACGAATTTAACAGTACATTTACCATCCTTTGCGAAGCGCGTAAAGAGCTGGAAATCGCGCAGCATGAAGTTCTGAGGAGCTTTGCCATCGTGGACACGCAGGACCATCTCCTGAAACTCGTTGCGCCCTAATGTGACAGTGGCTTTGCGCATGAGCTGCCGTTTGATGGCTTGCCCTGCAGGATTCAAGCGCTCCACTGCCACGGTGCACTGAAGCTCAGCGGGATCAACGTGTCCCAACATTTTACCTTGAAAGAACATAGAAGAACCGCTTAAAGCATGTGATCGAGTATCTTATAACTTTACTCATTTACTAACACCGATTAGTCTTCAGCGAGTGCTTGGGTTATGATTTTAATGAGTGCATTAAAGAATATACATGCAACAAACATTAATCTCAACTGAAATGGCAAATCTAGCGTAAAAATACATGTACGTGTTCGTGTCTTATTATTTTATTTAATATAGAGAGGACTAACTCACCTTTCTTAAGAGCTGTTTAAACAGCAAGTCACCACAACCGCACCACCAGCTGTTCATTTATATGTTGCTGGTGCTGCTGCTCACGCACGATTTTCAAATAGTTCCGCTCTACAAAGATTGGTCGATTGTGACGACCTACTGACCAATCAAAGCAGAGGCATTTAAACAAATATCCAATCAACGATTGCGCTTCCTAAACGTAAGCAGCGGGCCCGCCTACAAGCAAGCGCTCCACCAATGAAACGGCGTTGGTTTTCATTACGTCTTTTTCCTTTGTGCATTCATCTCATGGACTGGAGCGTCTGCGTTCTAGGCGACATACATTGCAAATACTAAACCATTGCAGATCGATTGAAAAGGATTTCATTTATTCAAATGATCATTTCTGAAGTTACAATTTTAGTAAAAGTAAAATGGAAAAAAGGACAGAAAATTGCAATTATCCATTGATGAATTAACCGTTTTTCATTCAGTTCTCAAAACAGACACATTTCTCAAAAATGTTTAACACATTTCACCTGTGGAAAACACCTTTCAATTTTCTTAATGATTTCAAAAATGCCCTCATTTTAAAAAGGTTTAACCATGTTGTCATTCATAAAACACAAACACATAATATAGTCTAATTAACTCAAGTGTCACAATGTGAACTCAAATAACACATTTATCCATGACTCGTCAACATTAAAGGTGCTCTAAGCGATGTCATGTGTTTTTTAGGCCAAAACATTTTTTGTCACATACAGCAAACATCTCCTCACTATCCGCTGGCTGCCTGTCCCCTGAACACACTGTAAAGAAACGCGATCTCTGTAGACAGCCCATGCTTCACAAACAGCACCAAAAACAAACTGCAGCGACCCGCTCCCCAAAACATAACAAACTGTTCCAGCCAATGACCGACAAGAAGGGTTTGGGGGTGTGGTTTGGGGGGTTAGTGTGCGGATGAGGAGGAGGGAGGGTCTAGCTAGCCTCCGTTTTGTTTGACAATAGTTCGAACGTCAACAAGAAGTGACGTCACCCAGGATCGCTTAGAGAACCTTTAAGTACCTGATGACACACCAATCAGAATCTAAAGATAATTAATAGGACCATAATGTCAGAAGATCGAGAAACTCTACTGTTATGAAATTTGGCTGAAGGTGCAGGATGCCAAATTTATTTATTTATGTTTCACTACTGTAGCCTAATGACAGTATACTATTGTGTTGCATAAAAAGTTCATATTCAGTTCTTTGGTATTTGAACTTTTTTCTAGTGCTTTTCATCTACTTTAACTACTACTTACAGAAGTGTAATGAAAATTAATTTTTCCTAAAGATTGTATTTTACTGTAGGCTATCTGCACGCTTTCATGTTGTATGTGTACTGCACTAGTCACTGCTGAGCTGCAAATATTCCTGAATCCCAATAAGAGATTTTTGTAATAGTGTTCCAGGCAGGAATGTAATCTGTGTATTTGTAGGTTTTGTGTTTCATCTGAGGCCAAAGTTTGATTCTGACAAAAGAGAATATGTCTTTGACCAAAATATTTGATTTTGACGTGACAATTTGAGGTGTGTAGCCTACAAGTTGGTGTGTAGTTCTGAGACTGTGTTAGTTATGAGAAAATTGTGAATTGTTTCATGAATTGTGTGTTAGCAATCAAGAAAATTAAAGCTGCTGTAGGTAACTTTTGAAAAAATGTATTTGCTAAAACTGTCATTATGTCCTGACCATAGACTGTAAAAAAATATGGACGTAGTGTCCGTGACGTCACCCGTAGGTTTCTGAAGAGCGTTTTTGAAGTCTAAAGTGGGCGGAGTCAGCCGTCGCCATCTTGGTAACGCGTCACCTTTCTTCACTACCGGATAACAGAAAGTGGGCAAAGAGGCAGGACGTGGGTGGAGCTACTGGCCTCGCGTTAAAGTGGCAGCTGATTGAAGAATTAAAGCCAATAGTTTAGTTCATGTTTTTTCCCTTCGAAATCATAAATAGTTAAAAGACGTAACTAAAAGTGAGACTGTGTATCGTGATGTATTATTATTCTGCTATAAAAATGTATTATCATGCAGTAACTTACAATATTGCTCTGAGCTTGTGCGTGTGACAGTGATTCATGCGCACATGGCATCGCACGTCAAGTTCGTAAAGAGCTTCGTTCAGTCCATTTCAAAATCTGATTTTGGCCGCCTCTCAATTATTCAAATGGGTTAAACTAAAGATATTACCTCAGAAGTTCAAGTAAATGCACTAGAAATCCGCGCTCATTCAAGGGTGTGCATCTACTGCATGGACGGAGAGAAAGTAATGACACCTGCTGGATTTCATCTGACGGTAGCAGCTACTTTCACTAAAAAGTTAAATAAGCATATCTGTTCCGTGAGAGCAACAGTACCGCATAACGAGTGTGGTCTCTATATCTATAGACTTTTTTAGCAAGGAAATTGTCAGACATCCATTAACGTTAGTGCATGCGAGGAAAATAACTGGAAATACAGCGCAGTATGGTTGTTCTCTCCATACTCGACAACGACGGAATCCAACGGCGTGGGCGAAGGTATAATGCGTGTATTAAATTGTATGAAATAATCCCAAAAAAAGCACAAACACGGCAGAGATGGCAAGTACAGCAGCGGCTGGAATTAGCTGAGAGTGACGTTAACAGACAGCAGACAAACGGCCGCAATCCACCTGTCACTCAAGTGGCCACGCCCTTAATTATGCAGGCTTAATATAATTTAAACGGATGAGTTGTAAAAACATTCACCCCCCTCACAGTTGTCATGAAGGGCAAAATAAGCTATAAAGACCAAAACCACTTTTTGCTCCAGGCTGTAAACATGTTTTTTTCTGCTGTAAAGTTGGGCATTTTAACATGGGGGAGATGAAGATTTGACTCTCTTCTGCAGCCCGCCTCAAGCGGTCAGTAGATGAATTGCAGTTTAATTCACTTCCGTGTTGGTTTCAAGAGAGAGACAGGGAGGTTGCCGCTTGGTCCTGACAGTAGAATATGAGACAGATAATCTGTGTAAAAATCAAGCTCCTCTGGCTCCTCCCAGTGGTCCTATTGCCATTTGCAAGAAATACACGCTCCCGGTCAGAAACAACCAATCAGAGCCAGGAGGAATGTCTTAGCAGTGTCAATCACGCTCGTGTACGCGCTGATCACACCCCTCTCTTGCACAGCGCGAGCCGTCGTTCAAACTCAAGATTGCCGGCGTGCTGCAGCTGTGTTTATGACGGAGAAACAACCCAAACTGCCAATTCTCAAGTGACACCTGCTCATAAAACAAAGAGGTAAAAGGAAAAAGACTGATGACGATAAACAAGCGAAAAAGAAAGAATTAGACAGAGCCCATTGACTCGGTGTCAAAACTCTAGCCGCATAACATGTAGATAAAATGTCACGCACTCTGCTAAGCAACAATTGAAACCTGCTAATTCACTGGCTTGTCATGTTGCTGAAATAATGTACTAGCACCTTATCTAGCATTATATATCGCTAGAATAATTACTTACATACTGTAACGTTAGTTACCGTTATATTAACGTTATCTTACAAGCTATTTATTACTTATAGAAAGAGTGCAACGTTATAAAGTTACATGTAGGCTATTGCAAAATACATAATGATTTGAGGACCAAGTTTGTAGTCAAAGTATGGGCAGGCCATAGTCAATGTAAAGCATATTGTTGACGTTTAGTCCCTATTAGTGAATGTGCCATATAACTTTTTATCCGCTGTTATCGGTGGCCCTGTTTACTAGCCTGCGCGTTCACGACAGGCTCCGCTGTGGAGGACGAGCTGTGGAGGGAGGGCTGTAGCGCAGCAGAGAGCAAGGGAGTGGGACCTGTAAGTTGTGCTTGTTCAAATTTTCAGGCTAAGTAAACGTTTTCTCAAAACTATATTTTAATATTTTTGTATGTCAGTCCGTACCCTTCCTTCCTTTCTTCCTTCCTTCCTTGAAACAATATAAATAAAAAGAAAGGTATGCATTCTGGCTACCAACATCACTTACATAAATAAACAAATAAATAAATAAATATGGCCTATAGGTACATCCATCCAGAAACAGCACTTGGCAAGTTCCCTATATTGTTATTATTATTCATTAATAAACCAGTGATTTACAATTAGGCTAATTTTGCTTAGGTCATTTTCACACAGGCCATGGTTTACTACTGACAGTAAAACAAATGTCTTTTGATTTAGAGGTGGTTAATTACATTTTCCAGTATAAAATATTAGTCATGGGTTGGTGTATTTCCGTAAACAAGACATGCTCTTTTACGTCAGCTGAGAAAGAAATTTCCAGGAATGGGTCGCTGTCCCGCATCATTAGGCCCCGTTCAGTACATGCAAGCTTTTCTTTGATTTACATTCATTGGCAAGACGACAGCTGGCTGAGTTATGACACTCGGGAGAAGTGGACAGTACAGAATGCAGGCGAACAGTAAGGACTGCCTTCAGCCCATTGAAGATGTAGTGAGGTAGAAGAACAATAATCAGAAATACAATGAAGGATAATGATCATTTTAATTGCATACATTATTTGTGATATGTAAATAGGGTTATGAGTGAAACTTTACAGAGTCTGGATTAATTAGCAATCGCATTATGAATTCATATCTAATCTAGCTTGCCACTCCTTCCAAGCAAACAGACCTGCTATACTAAACATTCACATGCAAAGAGATCTTTGCCAAGCACAAATTTCCCCTCATAAATGTCCCTTTGAATAAAAGCGGAACTGCCACGATAGGGCACAGAGTGCCATCCACCAATGTTGACACCCTTGGTAAATATGAGCAAAGG